ATTAAATTAAAGTTTTTTGTTTTAATATCACATAAGAAAATTATATTTAAAAATGTTCGAGTTAATTTATTCTTAGAACGAATAAGTTAGCAATGCCGTTACGACTTAGATTGGCAAGCAGTTTTCGGCTGTTATCAATAATAAGATGCAACTTCAACAAGTACCAGTAGTTTTGCGAATAATATTCTCATAATATAAACTGTTATCATATTTAAGTGTCAAATTTTAATAAATTTTAATTGTGTTTTCTAAGCTTTTTTCTTACATATAAAAGTTATACTTATAAAACTGATAAATAAAATGTCACTTAATTTTTTTTTCAGTAACAATATGCTAAAGGTAAGGTATACTATCTCTCCATATGGAATTTGGTAGCCAATTATTAGTCTCTGTTTTAAATTTATAGAGTAATCATTCACTAATTTATGAAGTTTGACTTTTAGAAAAACAAGTTATCCAAACACAAAAATAATAATATTAAAATAGTGCCAAGTGAAACAGAGTGTTACCCACCATCTCCCAAAAGACTAAAAGAAGAAGTTAAAGATGTAAGTAAGACATCAAAGAAAACCTTTCATTCTATAAATGCAAATCTTTTATTGTTCATAGAGATTTCCTAATAACTCTTAAACATACTGAAATGTTTGTTTAAACAATTTAATTTTTCTCATTGTGATTTTAAAAAACTTATAATACCAATATAATAATAATAATATTAAATCCAATATCTTTTAAATAATTAAACAGGATGACAAATCACCACAAAACATAGATCTAAGCTTTTTAGATGAAATAGATATAGACGAAATAGTTAATTATTTAAATGATTGTGATGAGAAACTTAAAATAATGAGTAATGAAGATGACAACATTAATGGAAGATTTGAAAATGATGTTCATAACGGTGATTTAATGGAAAGATTAAAAAATACAGTTGAGGACACACATGCAACTATTGATTCCCACAGCAATAATACTAATGACTCCATGGAAAAACATCAAGATATAAGAAAAGAAAAGACTGAAAATGAAGTTACTTCTTCGGAAAATAAAATATCTAAACCAAATGTTATTAATAAAAGTGTAAATGGTACTCGTATGAAATATAATTCCAAAAAAGTATCATCTGAAGATCAAATAGACCACATAAAAGATTCAAATTTACCATCATTAAACTCATTAAATAGGAATAATAGTACAAAGATTAAAATGGATATTAAATTTCATAAGACACAGACTGCTAATATTATTGATCTGAAAAAACAACAGAATAAAACTAATGGTACAGAGCAACAAGAAAAGTTATCTATGAAAACTTTATCCAAAGATAAAGATATTAAACAAGTTATACATGACAAAAGTAAGAAAGATATAAAACCCATTGCGGCTAACAAAGAGATAGTGCTGGAAAATGGTAACAAAAATAATGGCCAGTATTTCAGAATGTTATTAGAAAAACGATTTCATCAATTAAAAAAAGAATGTTCTGTAATTTCTTACATACATTCTGGAAGGTTTTCAGATATATACAAGTGTGTAGATTCAGATGGCAAACAGTATGCAGTGAAATTAAAGTTAGCACATATGTTTTAATTATTAAATATTATTTTGTATACATTTGTAATAAAATTATATTTATTTTTTTTTAGACATAAATGTTTAGGATTTAGGCAACACCAACAAATTATTAGAAGAATTCAATTCAACCCCCCCAAAGATGATTTGTTATTTGTTAATATTATATCTGATTTTTTCTTAAGAAACGAGTGGTGTCTCATAATGGATTTTTATCCAAAAACCTTAAAAGAATTGATAAAGGAATCGCAAAAAAACCTTCATATAGACAAAATACAGGAACTTGCACATCAACTGTTTACTGCTTTGAAAATATTGAAAAATAAAAATGTTGTGCATTCTGGTAAGTAAGAAATTAAGTGGATTCTATCTCATGATGTGTAACATTTTCGCGAGTGTGCATTTAAATGAAACTATTATTTAAATACTAGATGATTTATTTTATATTTTAACAGAGTTTGGGTAATTTTATAATTTTAATCAATCCGGGTCATGTTATAGTACCTATATCCAAAAATCATAGCTAGCTCTGTGTTACCTTGTCTTTACAGTCATTAAAAAAATCGTACACATTATAATCTCTATTCCAACTTTACCCCAACCAATTCAGACGCTTTACTAATACAGTTTTTATAAGTGTATCATGCATTAGACTGTTTGACACCCAGATAATATTAAGTAAGTGAAGCGATTATAAAATCTAATCCATTGCAGATATACACCCAAGCCATATATTGCTAGATTCTACCATGAGTAGACTGAAATTATGTGGTTTGGATGGAGCATACTTCATAGAAATTGGTGCTCCTTGGCCATTCCAAGGATCAAAGTGTTATCAGGCTCCAGAGATATTATTGGGACATTCAGCCGGTTTCAGTGTCGATGTATGGTCTACAGCCCTGGTTCTACATGAAATGGCAACCGGCATACAGTTATTTGGAGGATGCAATGACAACCAAGTCTTATACAAACAAATCTGCATTTTCGGGGATCTACCCTACAATATAATAAAATATTCACGGTATAGGGATATGTACAAAAGTGGTTATTGCTTACTAAAGTACAAATGTAGAACACATGTTAGTACTTTTTTTTCGAAATATAAACAATATACACTTCTATTGAATTGAATTTATATTAATATATAAATTCAATTTATAGAAATCAAAAATGTAATGAAAAAGATGAAATTTTACAGAAACAACAATCTCGCTCTATGACGAAAAATATACTAGCGAGCACAATACACGGTGCTTACTTCCAACACTGGATTCAAGATAGAAATGAAATACAGAAGAAAAATGATCTGAGGAAGATCAGTCAATTCATTAGTATGTTGAACCAGATGCTTGTAACTAATCCGGAACATAGAAGTCCCATAGAATTTATTTACAGTAAGCCGTTTTGTAATGATTTTTTTTAGTCGATGAATTTTTTTTTGTTTCTAATATTTGAAAACGTTATTATGTTTAAAATTTATGTTGTTCCTACCTGGAGTAGGCTTTATTTTTTTTATTATGTTATAATGCGAGGCTGATGATTGAACAATAAATAAATATAAGAATCTTCCGAAATATTTTATTCTGATTTATATATTCGAATTCGTAACAGAATATCTGTCTCTTCGTCTACATACACGACTGTTTTATAACATAAGATATTCAATTGATTCAAGTAATCAAGGTACTGCCAATTTTTGTCATTTCTATTGGATTCTATTCCAGGTTCTTGTAATTATTAATAATGATTTCAATATAATGAGATTATTTAAAAATACTCTAAATAATTTTCGATGTTGGAAGTTATATGATGGTCATTATATTCTCATTTTTCCTTAATATTATCCACGTGATAGCAAAATATGTTATTGTGATTAATATTTTAAAAGACACGATATGTGTATAAATAATAAACATATGCCTTACAGGCTTTAAATTCTAGGGGGTTTCAGGGGGGATAAATCGATTTAGCTAGGAATCATTTTTAGAAAACGACATTTTATGAAAAAAAAAATAACAAAAAGGAGGCGTTTAAAATATGACTCTTCCTGACATCTATTGGCGAATAGTAATACTACTTTTTGCTTATTGCTTTTAATAATTAACTCTTAACCACCTATTAGTGAATATTCTTAATAATTCTACTAAACCACTTGATATTTGGAGTTTCTCTCTTATTTACGGATGAGATTTTGGACTAAATTTTACTACCCACAAATAATGAAATAAGACTTTTTGTATGTAAACTATCTATTTCTTTATAATTTTTATAAAAAAACTAGCTTTCCGCCCGCAGCTTCGCCGCGTGGAGTTCGGTTATATCGCGTTTCCAAGAGAACCTTTCAAAAGTCTGGGATAAAAACTATCCTATGTTCTTTCTCAAGGTCAACTCTATCTCTGTACCGAATTTCATTAAAATCAGTTCAGTGGTTTAGGCGTGAAAGCGTAGCAGACAGACAGACAGACAGACAGACAGACAGAGTTACTTTCGCATTTATAATATTAGTAGGGATGTGTTGTTACTGCTGCGAAAAAATAAAAAAATTATGGCATTGCAATTTTATTTAATTTTTTTATTTCTGTTTCGTTTTTTTATTTTATTTTATTTTAAGTTTATTCAAATTAATAGAAATAAGAAGAAAAAAAATGTACAATTTTAACATTTTAGAATAAAGATCTCATTTTCTTAGTATAGTAATAAATATATTATGGTGCCATATTCCTTATATCATAGATATTATTGAATTTTTATAAAACATTTTAATTACTTTTGTTAATTTGTGACGCAAACATAAAGCAATTAAGTATAGCCATGTATTTGATTTAACTAAACTTTACTTTCTTATCATAGATTCCAAAATAATCGCAGAAATTTATGAGCGGTCTCTGTGACCTCACGTAGGTGGTTAAAGGACAAAAATAGGTGGTAGGTGGTTAAAGGTTAAACGACTCAACAGCAGACGGCGTTGCTAAATAACAGGAAGTTAGACTAAGAAATTAATTGTTGATTTATATTGTTTTGTGTCTTCTTAACGTGTTCACTTAAAAATGCCTACACGAAATAAAAAAAAAAAACAAAACAAATACTGTAGACTGTGACTTAATAGTTTTAACTAGTCAAACAACGAAATTAATAGAGGCGGAAAAGTCAAAAGTGTATATGTATTTCAATACTTAGCTGCAGCGACACGTTAATAAACTTGTAAAATCGTAAGCTTTTTAAACGCAACATTGTTGCATCTACAAGCGAATTCATGATGCAAAGAGCAAATCTTAACACTATTAAATGTGTTTTTATCGCGATAATGGTATTAATATTGTAATTTCCGCCCGCAGCTTCGCCTTTCTAAAGTTTGGCATAAAAACTATCTTATGTTCTTTCTCAAGGTCAACTTTATCTCTGTACCAAATTCCATTAAAATCAGTTCAGTGGTTTAGGCGTGAAAGCGTAACATACAGATAGATAGTTACTTTCGCATTTATAATATTAGTAGGGATAAATACCTGGGTATCCGCTCGTCCGTCTGGTACATGTAATAATACGAGAGGTCGAACTTGACCGGTTAGAGCCGAGCGACCGCCCGCCGCGTCAACTCTGAAGAAGCCGCGTCGCTGTAGCTGAATGATATCCCCTTCTTTCACACTCTCTAAAGCCATTTCACCCAGCATCGCCACTTCCCACTATATAATACATATAATATATATTAGTTCATTTCGATAAATATACTATACGAATTAATAAAAAAGTGTTGGATTGAAAAAGCAAAAGATAACATCTGTACTGAAAATTTCAACGATACGAACAGGTTATGAGAATTTATATTTCAATTCAAGTTCTAACTAACAAAGTTTTAATGTCAATGCAATTATATTTATTTAATTAACAGATTTATAGAATAGAATAGAAATATACTTTATTGCACTCAATAACATAGGAAATAACATTACATATAAATACAGAAAATTTAAGGCAAGGGCGGCCTTATCACTAAAAGCGATCTCTTACAGGCAACCCAAAATTTTTTTATGGTGTGAGCTTGTAACCTGGCAAGTACCAATGTGATTTTTCCGTCTCATATGTACTTTCTATGAGTATTTAGACACTACTTACAGACGGAAAAGGATAAAATCGTGACGAAACCTGGACTAATAATTTCAAATTATAAGCTTGAAATCAGCAATTCGCCTTCAGAGTGATGGTTAACGCTCTAACCATGTGAGAAGAGGCCTTTGCTCAGCAGTGGGCTCTGATAGGATGATGATGATGATGATTAGGTAATATATCTCACCCGTGTCTGATGTCCGATGTACTTCTTGAAGTCCTCGTCTTTACCGAGCAGTGGTTTCGATATAATGTGATCGAAGTACACGCAGTACGTCTCAACCATGGGTGATTGTGGTGTCTCGGCTATCCAAGTTAGCTTCAACGTCTTCTTATAATCCTTATTATCAAGATTGGGCGTCGCGTCTACACTTGTTACCGTACCGTCGGCAGCCCTGGAGGAAGTAGAAGAAATTAATATATTAATTAGTTAAGTAAATTATATTACTTGATTATTTGCATATATTTATTTCCTGGGACCATATGTGTACTCTATGTTTGTTTTAAAAATATGTTAAATATTTGCTGACTTACTGTAAGGTACACGTAACACTGACGTTGTTATTGATATATATTTTTTTATTAGAACTATATACATTTTATTCGTAGTAATGTTCATAATTATGTTTGAGATTTTCCCGAGTATGCATTTAAATAAAACTACGATTTCAACCGAAACATAAATTATACAATTAATATAACATATGCGTATAGCATATCCAAAAATTATATTTCCATTGAAATGATTTATTTGATAATACGCAATTTCTATGATGGTTTTCTTTTACAAAAGGATTTCTTGTAGATCTATATTAAAAGATAAGTAATCTTTTGAGCATCACATACCTCTTATACCATTATCTAATTTTAGTACATAAATACATATATAAATTAATGTTTACTTTAATATAAAATTTCAACTCAAGGTTCGTTATTTTTTGCAGACATGCATAAGCATTTGTAACACGATAAGCGAATATAATAAAACTTACTTATGTATTTTATCAATCATTATATTCCCGTAGTTAATGAAGGTCGCGTTTTCTCCTTCCTTCAATGTTTTCGCATCAACCTGATCTATCAATAATGTCTTTGATATCCAAACTTTTTTGTTGCCCACATCCGGGTTTTTGGGATGTAGGGGCACATCCAGAGTACTGTCAGATGTGACGCCTTTGAGGTTTACTGGAACCGGCTTTGATTCTAATGCTGTGTATCTAGGAGCTATGGGGTCAATGACCTGGAATGAAAATTAGGAAAAGATTAAATAAAGGATTCCATAAATATGCATATCTATATATAAAAAAGTAAGTCGTGTTAGTTCCTCCACTTATTACTCAAGAAAGGCTGAACCGATTTAGCTGAAAATTGGCAGGGAGGTAGTTTAGAGCCAGGAAAATGACATAGGATACGTTTTATCCCATTCGACAGCATTCCCGTGTGACTTGACATGAAACGTCAGTCACTATAAAACGTGGTATAACAAAAAGAATCAGACTTGGAATAATAAAACGCAAAATGACAGCTATGTAATTGACGTACAATGACAGATATGTAATAACGTATGGACACAATTTGATATTTGTAAGAAATCTACTATAAATTTCAACAGAAAAGCGGGGAAATCTTTTTTCACATACAGCATCATCTCTGATACATAACATGTACTACAAATCAATATTTTAAGTAGATGGTGCCGGTGCATGATACATTGTGTGACAGCTACTCATTGTTCTCTGCTCAGTTAATTGCATGTGACAAACCGGTATCGTGTTTGTAGTTTAAACTCTTAAAACCATTTAGTATTTGCGGGATAAATTTAGAAAATTATTGTTTTTCACATGGGCAGTTATACTTTGCGTGTTCACGAGTTGGGAACCATCCGCTTTATCTGTGTTAAAGTTAAACCAAACAACCAAAAATGTGGTTTACAAAGGAACACTTCAATGAAACGGATAATTTGCGGGCACGTATAACGCTTCGATTCGGTATCTACTTTGGATTCACTTTCATTTACTTAGAGAAGTTCAACTAAATAACACTTCATTTTTGTAATCGAAATGAATTCATTGCTGTTGTGAAATGAAATAAAAATTTTCCTTTTCAAATATAAAACAAAAAAAAATACTTTATCTTTTAATCACCAAACGAAAAATTACATAAAACACATCCCTCAGGTGGCGAAACGGTGTTCGCCGGGTTTAGTAGTTTATAATATAACAATATTTTTGCCATTGTTAGTAGCTGGCAATACAAACATTTTTTTTATACATACTGTATAATATAACAATAATGATCTCTAAACAAATACTGTAGTGTTTGTATCTATACAACAGATATAACACACAGCCTCATGTACCCCACTAGAGGGGGTGGCATTCGCTCAGCAGTCTCACGACTAGCGCGGAGCAGAACGGTGACTGCTCGGAGGCGGAGGTAGTAGTGAGCCAGTGACTGGTTATTCTTACATAGAGGATCAATTACCTTCTTATTGATGGCCCATATCTTATCCCATTCCATGAACACAACCGACCGACTCGATCCCTGAGCTCGTATGAACCTTCTCAACGCCTCCACGGTTAGACCTCTGCGGAGGACACCGCGGACAGTCGGCATGCGGGGATCGTCCCTAGAAATACATTATTATATAAAACTTCATGTATCAACATATTACTATAAATATGAATGAAAAACGATACAGAAATGCAGGTAATTTTATTTAAATTATTTGAAATAGCCATTAATATAACTCACATAATTCCATTCATAACAAATTAGAACCCAACCAACCTATAACCTAAACCCATAAAAAGATATAGCAAATGTACATTAAAGCGACAAACATTCAGTTTGACAATGAAATTTTTTCAATCACCACAGATTAAATAATTTTGAAGCCATACAGGGTGACTGGTGAATTACTATCAATATTTAAGGAGCATACTCGGTACATGATTCTCATTCGAATTATGTAAAAAAATAGGTACTTAATTTTTGACCAAATTTCCGTATAAATAAATAAAGTGTGTACACGTTCCAAGTGTGGACGTGTGCGGCGGCGTGCTGATACAACACTACGCCGCCGCCGCGTCTGTGTGAGTGTGTGTGTATACCTAATCTGTAGGGTGTTCATACGATGCGTAATTAATTACATAACTTTTGGTTAACTTTACTTAGAAGTTTATTAATATTTATGTTATATTAATTTTTATTTTGTCATATATGATCGTCAAATATCACGTCCTCAAATATCGATAGTAATTCACCAGTCACCCTGTATATGTGGCAAAGTTTATGATTTCCAATACTCACCATCCATCAACAAGTCCTTGCTCAACAAACCAAGTCAGCTTTCTTTTTGACAAAACTGTATTTGTCATACTTAATCTGAAAGAAGTTTTTATTATAAAACAAAAATGTTCTTAAAATTCAAAGGTTTAAATTTCAATTAATTTTTTCCTATTGTTTCTCTATAAATACTACTAGATTAAAATATTGTATGTAAGAAACTATTGTCAATTACCTGCTGTATTCCCAAATATATGGTTTCCGAAGCCCTAAAGCATCAATGAACCAATAGAACTGCGGATCTCTATCATGATACTCCATTGTTCTAAGAACATGTGTTACGCCTTCTATGGAATCGACGATAGGACAAGCGAAATCGTATGTAGGATATACTCTGAAAACCAATCATATTATCTATATTAATTTAACAATATTCAACAAATTTAATAAAGTTAAAAGCTGGTTATATTGTTTTTTGCTATATAAAACTCAAGTGGTACTATCAATGATCTGCTATTAAACTCTATGTAGTATATATGTTTTTATTTAAATATTGTTTAAGAGTATATTGTAATCTGATGACTGTACCCTATAAAATATTCAACTGGATGCTCTATAAATCGAAGATGAATATTTTCTAGTCTCATATCAATCAAGTCAGTATATCTACTATATTAAAAGGTGTTCTACATTATGTTCAACCAAATATAGTAGCCAGTCTCACATATTTCATATAAAAAATACAATTATATTAACATAATGTACATACTTATATTGTGTTCCTGTTCTGGGATGAGGTTCAGGCTTACATCTGTATATGGTCGGATCTCGCAAACATCCATTGGCAGACTGCATATCAATGATAGCTCTAACACAGTTTTGGATGCCAATATCACTTCCCTTCTTCATCTCTTCCCAAAGCTGCAAGTTTTTTTCTACAGCTGAAATTTGTTTATCAGACTTTTATTATTAATGTTTGTAATATTATTAAAACTATATAAATAAAAATACATGAAAATCTCTTATCCTGAATTAGGGAAATAAAGCACAATATATACTTGTTATTTAAAGATAAAATTAATAATTGTAAGATTTTTTCAAGTTAATTTATAATTAACATCCTTACAGTTGCTTTTATTCCTGCTATCAATCCTCTGTTCCCGTTCATTCTTCATCTGTTCTGCTGGAGTATCATCAACAAATGCTTTGCCCTCCTTAATAAGCTTCTCACAGAATTGCAGCATCAGATCAAAGTATTGTGAAGTGTGTGTAAACATGTCAGGTTTTATTTCAAGCATTTCAACATCTTCTAATATCACCTGAAAATACATACATTTTAATTTAACAATAACAATTCAATAAACACCAAATGTATAAGTTATTACTTATTATATTATCATTATTACCTTTTCGAACTCAGCATTTTCCTTAGCTGGGTTGGTATCATCAAATCTCATTATCAACTTTCCTTCGAAGGCCTCCTGATAATATTGATTTAGAAGAGCGGCCTTAGCATGCCCAATGTGTAGGTAACTAAAATTCATCATATATTTATGTATTTCATGTATAGAAACATCAGAATATTTATAAAGAATGTAGTTTTGGGTATCAAATTTAATTAAGAATAGCATAAAAAAATATTGTAGTGTGTCTAAAGAAGGTCTTAATTAATGACATGTACTTGATCTCCTACAACATTTGAGATAATATTTATGAACTTTTAAATTTTATATTGAATTGTTCCTGAAATTTGATACAAATAATTATATTTCTAATTAAGAACATCCTTTAAAAATTAATACATACCCAGATGCCTCGGGAGGGAATCTAACAATTACTTTGCCCATTTCAGCATGTGGCAATTCAACAAATTTGCCTTCCTGCCGCATTCCTGTCTCCTTATTTTCTGGTGTGGATCTGCCAAGTTAATGTTTCCTTTAAGTTTTACTGAATTAAATTTATCTTATATTTTAAAAAATAATAATTTATTAACAAACAACTCAATTTATCTTTATCTAACATCATGTAATAAAAAAATTTATGGTGCAAAAATGATGCAACAATTACCTTAAAGATATCTTTGATAGATTTTCAAGTACATCAGCTGGAATACTTTTTAGTGCTTTTGTGACTGGTTCTTGAGCCTGAATGAGTTTCATCCATCTCGCAATATTATTGTATTCTTTGGCCTTTGACAACTCTTGGTATTTAGGAGATGCTAAAAATTATATTATTTATAAAATTGGAATATATATTCCATATCAAAGAATTTTTTTAAGATATATTTGTGATATATATTTCATCATACTTACCATACAAAGCACTAAATACAGCTAAATCAGAAACAGATAAAGTTTCCCCATGTAAATAAGTAATAGGGCCGAGAGTCTTATCAAGATATTCTAGAGATTTAGGCATTTCTTCATTCAGAATTAAGCTGAGGGACAGCCAATGATTCATCGTAACCCTTTCTAGGGGTCCGACAGATTTATTAAAATTATTTTCAAGAATTCTAATCAAATCATTGCTTGTTCCATATGGCACTGGCTTGGATGAATTTTGTATTGTAACAGACGATTCATTGCCCCATACGACATCTACGTTTTTAGCCGAAGATCTGTAGAATTCTACTGCTAGTAGACCCCCTGAAATGTGGTGAAAAAACCTATTTTGAGACTTTCGCTCTAACAATATTTTGAATTGAAATCTTATGTGAGAAATACAACATACCAATCGGTGGATTCGTTTTATTACACAGAACTTTCATGTTGATACACTGTGTAATTTATGAATAGCAAGTAATACGATTTTTATTTCGAACACTTGCCGAAAACCGCACACGATGTAGAGAACTGTCATTTGTCTACGAGTATCGACATTTATATTATGTCAATGACACTTGATCATCGTAGTTGAATATATTTTCTGAAATTTTACTTATTCGCTATTAGATTTTGAAGATAATTTTGTAATACATTAAATAAATTAAATTTTCTACTAGACCGTTCTACTTTTTATTTTTTAAGTATTATTATAATTGTAATAGTTTTATAAACTACATTTTAATTATTAAATACTTAAATATTTTAAATTCTAATATAGTTATTAGTCAATTTAAGAGTAACAATTACTACTGCATATACATATTTTTCTATCAGTCTTTCCTGTAAATTGTATTTACTCTATATGCTATAACTTAATGTTAATTGTTATTGGTGCTTGACTTGCCTAGGAGGCTAGGTAAGTAGGTAGTTAATAGTACATATACCTACCTTGCACCTAGTTTAAATAATTGATCGATATTTTGACATTGTAATTTTTATCTTTCATTGTTATATTTTTTAATATTATTACTAAAGATATTTAACAAAAACTAGGTTTTAAGTAAGAACTGTTCTTAGTCATTCCAGGACCAACTTTTCTACGTACGTATAATAATAATGTATTTTTTGTTTATTATAACATAACTACTGTATGTTGTATATTGGTTTATTATTTGGTTTCTATAGGGTAAAACTCCCAGCAGCAGTGAGATCAGCAAAGCACTATGAAAAGACAAAACGTTCGCACACTTTCGCTTGTGGTTTGTACGTTCACATATTTGCTGATAGGAGCAGCTGTTTTCGATGCATTGGAATCAGATACAGAAAGCAAGAGATGGGAGGTTCTATCGGGTAAGTACTACTTGAACTATAATAATTTAGTCCTTGTGTTTTTGTTTTATCTTAAAAATTTTAATTATTTTAGTTGTTTTTGTTTACCACCCTTTATTTATTATTTTCTTAATTTCTTATTGATTTTATTTCAGAAGTCTACGGTACATAACATTAATATTGAAAATATTAAAATGACTTGTTTACTAGTAAGTAGTTTTTATGCGGTTAATATCCTTATAATTAGTTTTTTATAGAATTATATACATTAAACATTACTGAAACAAATGTAAATATGCTATTTTAGCTTTTCTTAATTAAGGTATGGTTAAGTAATATTGTGTAAATCAAATTTAGCTGTTTTCATTGAGTAGGTTTCTACTTAACTCACAAAAATTAAACAGTATTTGACTATATTATTTTTAATTATTTTTTATTTTAGTACTCTTTTGTTGTTGAAAGTATTGAATAGAAATTAACAAACCTCAACCTCATTTGTGTATATGGTAAAACTAAATATTTCAGATATGAAAAATGGTCTTGTTCGTAAATACAATATAACTCCGGAAGATTACCACATGATAGAGATTGTCATAATTGAGAACAAGCCTCATAAGGCTGGTCCACAGTGGAAGTTTGCTGGGGCTTTCTACTTTGCAACCGTTGTGCTCGCTATGATAGGATATGGACATTCCACCCCTGTAACTGTTGGAGGAAAAGCATTTTGTATGGCTTATGCTATGGTAAGAGTATCCTGTTACATTATTTTATTAATGTAATAAGGGTATTGGGAGCCTTTTTATTATGTATGAAAATGGAGTATTCAGTATTAAATTTGTCATGTATGTATTATGCTAAGTAGCAAGACTGAATGACAGAAACTAATATAATAAAGTGATCTACATCACACTAGACATCATATTTAACAATAGCAAGTACAGCTTAAACAATAAAAAAATTATTATGAAATTTTTCAGGTGGGTATTCCCTTGGGTCTTGTGATGTTTCAAAGTATTGGTGAACGTCTGAATAAGTTTGCTTCAGTGGTAATAAGAAGAGCAAAATGCTATCTTCGTTGTAACACAACCGAGGCTACGGAGATGAACTTAATGTTTGCAACTGGAATGCTGTCTTCTATTATTATTACAACTGGTATGAATATTTTTTATTTAGGTCAAGGAATCCATATCGTTTCAGTTTTACATTTTCTTTTTATAACAATATTAAAACAAAACTATATTTTAATTAAAATGTGATTAATTGTCATAACAATTGAAAAATCTCGTGTTTAAGGTAACTTCAAAATTTTTTCTTACATTTTTACATTCAACCAAGAAAATTCAAAAATCAAGAAAATTTATATTTTGTTTTAAATATTATCGAAGTATACAATGATGAACAATCTATTTATTTATATAAAATAAAGTTGTCTTAGTTACACTATTTATAACTCAAGAACGGCTCTAGGATATGGTTGGAAATTGACACGGAGATAGCTTAGAACCAGGAGACAGAGAAGGTTATCTAATTTTGTTTGATGGAAAAAATAATTAAAAATTCCAATATCTGGTTATTTATGTCCTCTAAGGTGGAATAGAATTCGCCAGGTCAGATATATTATCAATACATATATGACCAATTCCGATAATACGCGGACGAAGTCCTGGGTAAAAGCTAGTTATTTTTTAAATACATATCACATAGTTTAGTTTTAGTTGATAGCTTAAATGACGATCGGGTATACGTGTTTAACACTTTAAATGAGCAAATCTAATTAAATAATAGATTTTAAAAAATATATTATGTGATGTATTAATAAATTATACATCCACATAAATATGTGAAGGTTCAAATGGAGAAGTAGAATGTACTGTGCCAAGTGTACCTTATGAAGGATTAATACAATAAAATAATGGTGATATTAAAACATTCACTATACTTCTGTTCAGAAGTGTTATTTAAATTGAAGAACTGCATATAGAAAGTATACAATTTTATACAATTTATGATTTAATTATATTCTCTTTACAGGAGCAGCCGTTTTCTCTCGTTACGAAGGATGGAGTTATTTCGATAGCTTTTATTACTGCTTTGTGACGCTCACGACTATTGGGTTTGGTGACTATGTAGCCTTACAGGTAAGCCGACACATTCTATTTTATGTTGCAATGTAATAAAACTTATCCTACTATTTCTGGCCAGAAAAAAAATATTGCACTGCATTAAACACATGTTAAAAGTAAGGTAAATTAGATTACACTTCAGTGATTGGACTTTAAAATATGGAAAAGCGGTCTAATATTAGAAAATATTTTTACATTGTTGTCAAATGTTTTTCATATGAAGTCTAGTTTTTTTTTACTACGTAACTATGCCCTTTTTTCAAAGTAGAAAAATGTATTAACAGTAACCAGCACATAGGAGGAAAATCAGTATGCGAGGATCGCAAGAAAGAGCAGTAGTTGTACCCTCTATTATCTTATAGTAGCCTTCCTAGGTAGATAAAAAAAACTCTGAAGAATTTTGTTCACGTAGAACGCCTCACCTCGTTTTTCGTTAGACTGATAACTAACGACGATTTTCACACTAGGTAGATTAGTTTTTTCCAGATCCAACTCAACAGCGCCCTTCTAAAACATGATTGATTGGCGAAATACAGATGCCATCAAATGTAGCAATGTTTATTTAATATTAGAAATATAATAGAAAGGATAAGCAAGTTAATATATTGTATGTTAAAAATCTTCAATAATCACTTGATTGAGCAGAGACATACTTTGTCTACTACAAATGGCAAAAATAGACTTTTTAATATACATTTCTTGGGTCAGTATTAGGCAAGGGGAAGTCTGATTAATCTGATTTTTGGGTAAATCAAATCAAACTCATATAAACCTAAGTGATTAGAATGTAAAATCAAACAAGCAGAAATCAACATTCATACTATTGCGTTTATTTTATACATAACCAAATAAAAATATATTAAATAACTAACTAATAAAATATTTCAGAATGATCAAGCCCTAACAAGCAAGCCCGGGTATGTTGCACTTAGTCTAGTGTTCATTTTATTTGGCCTCGCCGTCGTAGCTGCTAGTATCAACTTGTTGGTGTTGAGATTCATGACCATGTAGGTATTAGTGTATTAAACTAAATTATATTGGCAATATGAATAATGAAGATAAAAACATGAAAAAAATATTACATATTCTAAAATATTCTATTGTGTAAATGTTTGTATCTAAAAATTGTATTTTTATAAGAAATAATAGTGTCTAGTGTTAATAATAGTGTATAATGTTTCCACCAGGCAAGCAGAGGAGAATGCTCGGGATGAAGATAAAGATGGTTCCAGAACTGTGTTACCAGTTGATGGGCAGGTGCGAGACGACCAAGCCTCTGTGAGACATAATGTTCTTTTTATAAATACATATTTTCAATAACATAACACTAATAATATGGTGGTAACCGGAGGTTCCAGGAAAACTACGAAACTTATTATATGTATAGTATATTATAATAAGAATTACATATTAAAACTACAGGAGAATTAGTTCGGCAAAATAATAATATTCAAATTTATGATTTTTATACCTATTACATCAAATTCATGCTTCTCAAATTTATGTTCTAAGCCTATATTAACTAATTGTTGTATGAAATTTTATAAGGAGCTAAAACAATGTTTCTATAGAAATACTTATTCTACATGATAAAGATTGCCATTTCTATGATTCAAATGATAACTAAGATGCAATAATATTCAAATTACAGGTATGTTCTTGTAACTGTCTCGGCAACAAACAGTGCTCTGGGCCACGCGCGAGGGAGCTTCCCCCAGATCTAATAGAAAGGGCATCTGTCTAAATACAAGAAAAAGTAACATTGTATAAAGACACATACAATTTAATGGCCAACAGATTAAATATGTGTTCAAGGTAATAAAAGCCAAAAAAACAATAGTAGATACATTATTGAAATTTATGTAGGTAATAAAAATATTCTTATTCGTTTTAAAACTAATTCTAAATTGTTATTCTTCTTAATTTGTGATTATTGATTTTAATATACCATTTGTCATGAGTAGTATGACACTTCACTATTGGAATTTGTCAATTGAATGGAATGTTTTCATAAATGTTATTGTAGCATGTATAATCCCCGATACTTGTGTAATTGTATATGAAATCAGATCAACATAACCAAGCCCTAACTGTCTTTTACAAAAACTTTACATTATGAGTACCTATATATAAAATAAGGGATACTTTGTAATGCAAGGATCATATATGTCCTTTATATAAGGTAGGCTCTAGGATAGATGTCTTAAAATGTTACATGTTTTCATAATCTATTATTTTTTTAAATTTGTTGTCTATTGTTTATAGATGAGGACAAAACTTGTTCTGATAAAAAAAAAACATTATAACGTCACACTACTATCAAATATTGTAAAATTTAAATATTCAAACACATACATTTCTCTTGCACTGATTATGTTGTATTCTAAGGCATTTCTATACACAATTTTCTTAGTAAGAGTCAAGTAAACAATGATTAACTTTATATATATGAACACAGGGTTTATATTGGCACAATCAGCTCTTTATACATTTCAGACAAAGTCAAACCAGATTAATCTGGATTACAGTGGACATTACACTATATACATAAATAGCTTTTGTGTACGTATTTCTAGTATCGAATTTCTACTCTTGTATTCTAAATGCATACATAAGTGCCAATTTCACACTTTTACACTTTTAATATTAAATTGTTTAAAAACACAACTGTATGAGTATTCATTGTGATAGATACAACTAAAGATGCCAATTTCAGTGCCAAATATTCTTAAAATTTGTGGATTTCTTAATTTAATATGTAATTAAATATTAATCGTACAATGATGTTGTATATTTTATGGCAAGCACTTCAATAATTGTATATCCAGTAAGCCTATTTCACTTTGCACTGTCAATTTTCATGTTTAGTAAATTTTAATACTTAAAAACCTTTTAATCAATGCTCTTATGTTATCATCATGATTCAGTTTTATAATAGGCGTTCTTTTTTTTCTTATGCTGAACATTACGAAACGTAACATTCTCTGCACGAAGTGTTTGTATATATATTATTATATACATATATTAATGTACTTTTTGTTAGCTTAAAACAATGTTATTGTTAAAAAATCAAAATAAAGCCAAAAATGTTATTTGGAAATAAATGTTGTAGTATAATACTTTGTTTTAATTTAAATAAAATTAACACTGTTATGATTAACAAATACCTGTGGAAATTCTATTTTGAAAAGGTGAAGGAGATAGTAACACCAATATGTTAAAAACAGAAGTCAATATTTAAACGTACACATATGTATAAAATTGTCTCAAACTTATTATAGAATTAATCACATGTTTTTTTAATTCGTTTACGAATTTACAGTCTTGATAGGATATTTTAATCTTATTAATACTTATTTTGAAACAGTTTCACCTGAACTTATTATTTATCTCATGAGAATTACTAATTTAACAGAGATATGTATTAAGTTTTTAAATTGTGTTTGTCCTAATAAAGTTTTCTTTCCGATATTTGATCTTAAATTTTTTTTTTCAAAACCGATGCAAGAATTTATTTTTATTGAAAGATAATTTTAATCCCCATGAGAACACCCCTTATGGAACTTTTAATGAAACAAGATTTCTTTATCTTCCCTAAAATATTCGAACTAATTACTTAGTGACAATGACCTCATTACAAGTCTTTAGTAGGCTTGAGATACCTTAGACCTATATAAGGAAAAATATTAACTTTAAAATGTCATTTGTACAAAGATGACTTTCAAACATTATTTAATAATTCTTTTATATTTATCCGGCATTATTTCGTGTAGCGACGCAGTATTTTTTCCATCTGATGGTATTGTAGGTGCGGTTAAAAAGGCGCCAAGATGTAAGTATTTCTACTAAATTATAAAATTTACTGTATTAAAATGTTCCTATTTTAGATAGTGTCGTGTGTTAGAAATATTAAACTTATTTATAATAATAGGGAACTTGCCCTGGCTTGGCTTAGGCCTATGGTGTAACGGTTGCCCGGCGCTTGGTTGCGAAGACGACGAAGCCATCATCCATGGTTACTGTTGTGGTTGCGCTTACTCATTAGGTAACAATACTGCTTCATTGTATTCTTAAAATTATATCTAATATACCATAATTAAAATATTGCCTGATTACAATAAGGTCAGTTTGTATTTTTTTTTTAATTTTAACAGATAAGCTGCCAGTATTATGTCCAGAGTTCCTTCAATGTCCATTAAACCTCCACGGTCTTTGTCACGACTACGAGTACATGATGCGATGCTGTTGTTAAAGTACCTAGTTTTGTATTGACTTTCATTCTTTTTAAATATAGTCTGTCTCATTGTAACGATTTAAAAATAATAAACAAAATACAGAAATTCATTTTAATTGGTAAAATGTCAAACCATTTTTCAATAAAATTAATTAACTGGAACATTAAGATTAATTAGTTTTAAGTTATGAGTGGGGATTATTGGGGATTGGATTTCTAAATAAAACATCCTTAAATAGCATACTGTTTTAATTTCTAAGAAACCCTCAATACAGAATTACAGTGGGTCAGCGGATTTATAAGTTAACTCATCACAATAGTACAAAAATAACGACACGAGTTAGTTGTAAACGATCGAAACATCTTCTGCCTAACATTTTAAATAACAAATGCAATTATTTAATATTACTTAATATTTGTTTTCATAAAATAACATTCTTTTGTATTTATACATGTGTAATAAGTTATAATACAATGAGTGTGCGTATTAAAATTCACTCATGTTTAATACACTCGATATGATTTCAACTCTGTTAAAATTTTCCCAACACTACTTTTTACACAGTTGTATTTTAAAACGTTAGGCAACACTATCACATACGACGGTGATGTTGTTATATGAATGTCTTTTATTTAATACTATGTTTCCATTGTAATCGATGGCTAAGTATGTTATCTATAAATCTGTCTAATTTCACTAAGGCCAATATGCTTTATCTACAATTTTGTGTTAAAAATTACTACTGAAATTCAAGTGAGTATGACTAACACAAAATTTTTGAACACAGCACAACCCCAGTACTATACATAAATATTAAATACGATTTAACACCCAGTGCAGACAATTTAAAATAATAATAATAATAATAATAATGAAATTAGTACCTCGGTGACGTTTAAGTAAAATGCAACATAAATAGAGCAAAAAATATTTTTATTATTAGAAAACCGGAAATGGATTTCGATACTACAATTTGCGTAACAAGTATCTTAACACAATTAACATTATGATGAAGACCCACGCGATTACAGGGTATCATATTATTGCATAAGTTGTGTACCGATGGAGCTTCACCATTCTGTTAAAAGCCCCTCCGTTATGACAGACGTTGAACACTAACGTATTTAGTTGCTCTTAGTTATAACATCTCCTGGAATACAGCACGAAGTTAACCTACGATATTCATTATATATAAACATGTATAAACATACATCCATTCCACCACTTTCCTTTTAACTAATATTGGACAATAGCAACTTAAAAGGAGTCAGCTTATAACATTATGAGCGATCGAGCTCGGGCACTATATATATAATTTTTATTTATAATAGGGATGCGATCAAATTTTTTTTGTGGTAATTGCATAACTGCTGGTGCTACCGCCCCCAGCTGGAACAAATACAAAAATAAATAAATACATTTCAATTAGCATATACATTATGAATTAGTGTAATGAACTTACATATTAGGAAAAATATTTATATACTACAAGAGAAACCAAAAAAACACAAATTAGACATTAGGCATAAATTCTTAACTTTAAAATAGTCTTAAGAGAAAACTTAAGATTTTATATATTATAAATGTAAAATTGTCTATACCTAATAATAAGAACTATAGTGGTATGTATTGTTGAATATATATTAAGGTAATATTAATGTTTAATGTATTCAATTGAATGTGAGACCATGATTATGTGTTAAATAATAAATTTAGAGATTTAAAACATAAAATGGTTAACATGTTTTACTGTGGTCATAAAGCTACATAAATTTTATTACCTTCATGATTATCTGATTACTTATATATATACCTGTTTCATTTTTATAGGCATGTTCATGATTTGCTAAATACAAGATATAAAAACTAGACTTTAGCTATGACTGCAATTTTTCTAAATTAACTTTAAAATAATTTAACCAAATCAAGTTTCGTTATACTTGCTTGTGACTTGTTTAAATAGTATGATGTCAAGTGTAATGTAGGTAGATTACTTTATTATATTAGTTGCTGTCATTCATGATATTTATTGAATACTACACATCGTCGGAAATGGCGCGAAACCGCACAACTAGCGTTGGATAATTCCGCGTATCTGCATTGGAAGCAGATAATCAGAAGAAAGTTTAAGCTGAAATATTTTTTAAATTAACGACTTTAAGGGTAATTTTTTCACAATTTGTAATAAATTAAACACTTAATAATTACTGATTGTGAAAAAAATCTAATATCTATAATCTAATTATCCGCTTCTGATGCAGATACACGGAATTATCCAATGCTAGTTAGGCCGATTTGCACTTGATTGCCGATTTATTGACTACTACATATACAAATTGTATGTATGTATGTATTTGCTTACCATGATTATTGTTCAGCAACAGGAGGTCCTGTTAGTATCGATGGGACGTCCTTGATCTATCTTGACAGCGGCGGCGGCGGGCGCTCCGGCCGACGGAGGACCAACACGAGCCTTTATCTCAGCGGCCATAGTCATGAACGCCTGTTCAACATTCGTTGAGTTCTTGGCCGATGTCTCCAGGAACGGGATACCCAACTGCTCTGCATATTGCTGGAATTATATTATATAGATTAGTTTTATTATTAAGAATAGCTGGAATTTCTTAATATTTTCACCACACAGTACTCAAGATTATAATACAGCCAACAAATAAAAATGATGACAATGGCTAAATATTCCATGATTCCAGTGCAAATGAAGCCTTAGCAAAAAAAAAGGGAGAATAGTTGTAGTGTTTTTTAACTTTTCACTTACTATGATATAATTATTAGTATGATGAATTAAATTAAAATGTTTAAGTTATTTTGCCCTTTCAGTTTCAGTATAAAGTATCAAACTCAAACTTTGACCATGCCAATAAACCAGTTAAATTGATCTAGTAAATGTCAGTGTGCCAAGATAATAATTAATTATTATCTATACAGAGATGTAAATCATTCTATAATTAAGTATAAAAGTTGGTGACATTTAATAGTATATTGTTACTTATAGGTCATTGCACTTCTTATCTGTTTCATAAATTTACTGAATTAAGCAAACATGCCCATCAAACAAACCTACAACAATCATTTTTGTGAAATTTTTTAAGAGTTGTACATTTAAAACATCTTAATACAAAAATATATAACAATTTAAAACTAGTGTAATATGAAAAATATTTTACATTCGAGTAAACTGGCTTAGAAAAGAAGGTAAAAATTTAAATTGCATTCTATTCAATTATAATGAACTTTCATTCTATTACTATAAAAATATTGCATAATATTACAAAGTCAAATATTTACCTTAGCAGTGGTATAATCAACGGCTTTCTTGGTGGTGAGGTCACATTTGTTGCCGACCAGCAGCTTGTTGACACTGTCGCAGGCATAACGGTCAATCTCCTCCAACCACTGTTTCACATTGCTGAAGGAATCCTATTAAAAAAAAAGTATACTGAGTGATTTCTCTTTTAAAAATATATGTCCATAGTGTATCCTGGCCTAAATTTTTTTGTTATACAGTAATAGCAAGTGTTTTTTTTATAAATTAGTATCCTGAGCCAAGCATGTAGACTATGGTTAAAAAAAAAATCTGATATGTATTTAACAACTGCAGTTACAGAAAAATCCATTAAAAAGACTTTATGTGTTAGAACAATAACAACCCATACATCTAATAAACAGTGCTTTTATTACATAAACACATAAATGATCACTAACTGTGGTGGTCATTATACTGAATACTTTGTTTTGTAATCCTGTTAGTCCCATCAGATAAATATAAAATATTTTTTTGATTATATAAAATACTTCTATTAAGGCATACTAATTATATATAAAATAAATTCATAGCATGAACATAGATTTTCAAATCAACACATCAATCCCTTTGTTAGCAGACATATTCATTGTGTGAGGAGATAATTTTGATTAGCATAATTAATTAAATTATTATACTCGGTCATGTTTAATTTGCTTGACCAAATCAGTTTTGATATATACTTAACAAATATAATGATATACATAATGACTCAACATTCCAGTTTAGGTTGTGTTAAGTGATCTCAAAGTTTGGATGGAGGCCAAGTAAACTATATATTATTTAAATACAAATGATTGAAACTCACAGCTGTAGAGTATACATTTTAAAATTATTAACACTTATAAAACTCAAAAATATAGTTAATTATTGTTGCAACATATATATTTATAAATAGACAGTCCATAAATAACTTTCTAGTTATATTAATATGTAAGTGTATAATAAATGCTTTATTACAAGGACAACTAGAAATAAAATATGAAAACGAGGATATAGTATTTATACTATGAATATTGTCAATTTGTAACTAATTTTTATGTTTTATTAGTTATAAAGTTACCTGATCTGTACAGTCATATACAATAATGATTCCATGTGCCCCTCTGTAGTAGGACGATGTGATTGTTCTGAATCTCTCTTGTCCCGCCGTGTCCCATATTTGTAACTTTATTGTCTTTCCATCTAAATCTAAAGTCCTAATTTTAAAGTCCACACCAATAGTACTGATGTAGCTCTCTGTATATGTATCATCAGCAAATCGAAGCAACAGACAGGACTTGCCAACACCAGAGTCTCCAATCAAGAGTAGTTTGAACAAGTAGTCGCTGCAAACAATGACGAATATATATGTTACAATTGCGTCTATGAATATATAAGTAACGTCAGTACTCTTATAAACTATAAACATGAGCAACGCGGCAACAAGGAGGCGTATCATTTCAGTAGACAAAGCAAACAAAAGAATTGACTGTTAAACAAAAAAACAAAAATATTGGATTTCATATCATAGGGGCGGAAGTGTAACGCAGTTAAGTTCCCTTCATAGACTTTCATGATTACGTTTCGATTTTGTTGGTACTAAGAACATAATGAGTCACCATTGGTTTTATTTTTTGCTATATTACATTTAATAATGTGAAGAGTTAAACGATTATATACGTTACAGACAAAGACTTCAAAGATACTTAAAAAAATTAACATGCTAAATTGAAACGAAATTCAGCCCATCCTTGTTTTACACATCACGGTACAACATATACTTACTATTCTGGATTCATTTTGTACTATAAATTTAATGTAACGAAAATGTTGTTAGCAGAAAGTAAGTAAAATAGTTATTTTCTTTGTTTGAAATGAAGAACACCACAAAACACAAAAAAATATAATATTATACGTAGAATAATGGCTGCCGAGACTGAGACACCCACACTGACGTAAGTCAGAAATTCACTATATGGCAGGAGTGCCACTTGGCAAAAATAAATATCGTTTAGAAATAGAGCAAACGGAATTTTGTTATATGTAAAAAGTTACATAAAAATAAAATGGAACTCGGAAATCGATTGTGAAATATGAGCTTAAAATTTTTAAATAACTTAACTACTTTATTATTTAAAGTACCTTAAGTTTGTACAATATTTAATTCGAACAAAAATTTAAGTATTTCTATGTAGTCAGCACATAACAGAAAAATAAATGGCTATGCATTGGTTTTTTTTAAATTTTTTTTGGTGTCATAAAATCCATATATGATTAGATAAGGTTTAGATTTTGTGTGTGAAGTGACCAATGGTACATGAATAATGTTATTAAAGCCAACAGGAAAATAAAAAAAATGGAAACATATTCTTTTTTATTTTTTCTATAACAAGTTATTTATATTAATCAAGGTCATACCCTTACTAATCCAAAATAAAAAGGATTAGATGCTTATTTAAACATATTACAAAACTTATTATTTACTTATTCTGTTAACACAATTGCAAAATTTTTTTTTCTTAATTATAGTGTCTTTTGCAATTAAAATTAGCAATTCTATTTCAAAATAATTTATATAAAAACATTTTCATACATTTTGACATATTTTTGTTTCTTTTTTATGATGAAAAAGATGTTGGAAAGTTATTTTTTTAATAAAAAGAAAAAGATATTTTTTTAATATTCCACATTTGGGTAGTTCTTTAGATAATATGCTAACGGGGTTTGTAACAGAATACTTTTTATTAGAAACAGTTTTTGTTTGTATTCATAAACAAATGGCTACAATTACATGTATACACATAAAAATATAGAATAAATCTGCTTTACATGTAATATCATTAGAATTATTTATATATGTATCATTATTATATTACACATTTCTTATAGTTTTATTTAACCACCTAAGTAAATACATAATTCTATATACCATTCACAAAAAGTTTAATTTATACTGACTAAACTTTCGTCAAACAAATAAAAAAATAAACCATTTAAACTCTTTTATTACTAAAGTTTATATACAATGGAGATAAGACCTTCAAAATAAGTGATTATATATATTAACTAAATTATAAAAAATGGTGCGTGTCTACGTTCATACGTAGAAAATTACAGTATCATTTCTTGCAATATACTAAGTGGTATTTTCCATATGTACAAACTCCTGTCCTTGTAACCAGCGATAATCTGTAAGTAGAAAAAAAATTAAGCATAGACAAGAAATATCGTTCTATTGAAGCTTCAAATATATTAATAGAGTGAGAACACTCTTGCTTTGAGTTAATTTCTACATAATCAGGGCTCAATAAAGACCTTGGTTCCAACTATGGCCAGGGAAAGCAGCATGAGACTTGGGCCGCGTATCTGTGCGAAGGGTCGAGCCTCACTCTCGCGGTAAACGTACACACAGCCGTCATAGCACCCAGCGAACAGAAGCCCGCCCGATGTTCGCAGACAGACCGCACCCTTGCCTCCCTCGTGAGTGCCGGCGTGTCCGCCGCTCTGAAAATAAAATATATATAATACTAGCTTTCCGCCCGCAGCTTCGCCCGCGTGGAGTACGGTTATATCGCGTTTCCAAGAGAACCTTTCAAAAGTCTGGGATAAAAACTATGCTATGTTCTTTCTCAAGGTCAACTCTATCTGTGTACCAAATTTCATTAAAATCAGTTCAGTATTTTAAGCGTGAAAGCGTAACAGACAGACAGACAGAGTTACTTTCGCATTTATAATATTAGTAGGGATAACATCCAATTAAAGAAAACAATTCCAAACGTCATAAGAGTCATCTCAAAGCCATTTCACACTACCCAAATGACATTGATCTTGACTTGACTTAAATCTATTTAAAATATCTATATAGTGACATTGAAAATAATCTTTAAAGACTTAATAACGTCTATGAATTTATAATCTGCAACAGTTATTTGAATTTAATTTAAAATAACTTCACCAGGATACAGAAATTGTCACATAAAAAAGTGTCAACATATAAACTTTTAATTTTATTAAGACTATAAAATATATAAAGAAGGATTTAAAAAGGGTATCCTTCACTTTGTGTTCAGATTACAGTAATTAAATAAAATCAAGAATTTATAAAATGTTCTGATATATAGATATATGATTATGGTAAGCCCTCTGAAAGTAATAATTTTATCACCATTTTCAGTCAAATTATTGTTTACTAGCTTTCCGCAGCTTCGCTAATGTGGAGTTCAGTTATATAGTTTCCAAGAGAACCTTTAAAAAAGTCTGGGATAAAAACTATCCTATGTTCATTCTAAAGGTCAACGTAACGGACAGAGTTACTTTCGCATTTATAATATTATTAGGGATGTATAATTATATTTTGAACTAACCGTGTAATCAAACACATGTATCTGATTACTGCTGGTCCCACAGTAAACCTTTCCATCTTCATATAATAGAGTGTAGACAGTCATTTTGGGTCCAACCAAAGTTCTCAGCAACAGCCCAGTCTGTGCATCTTTTATTGTGACGTCTTCCGATCTGGCAGCGACTAGAAGTACTTTTCTTGGACCTTCTTTCATTGCTCGTAGAGCTAGTATTGATTGCTCAGAAAACTTCACTGAACTCACTGGTATTAGCATGTTATTCTGAAATTAATTAAAACTTATTTATATTTATTCCATATTAATTGTAAGTAAAATTTTATTATAGCTCTACTTCTTTTCCTTGTTATTTATTATTAAGGACTGGAAATGATAAAAGAACTGTCAATTAAATAATTTTTTTAAATCGTTTTCAGGATATGCAGTAATGCTTAATATCTTTATTCCAGACTTAAGTCTTAAACAATGTGTGTATTTTTTTTATCAATCATGAAACTTGTTTTGTTTTTTAAATCTATATTTGAAAACCATTATTGTAACTTAATATTTTTTAAATAAAAAGATTTGGAGTTATACATATATAAACAAATACATAATATTGAATGTTGTTGAATTTTATATTACCTTGCATTCGAATTGCAGTACAAATCCCGTCCTCGTTCCTACAAACACTGTATCCCATGCATGATCCATTGTTTGTATTGGACTAAGAACATTACATTCTGGTCCCTTTTCTAACCCTGTCTGGATAATTTTAAAATGCGTTAAGAATTGTAAAAATCATTTTATTCTAAAAGTTGGAGGTGTTAATTTAAGAAATAATCTCTGTTCTTTGTTTTGGTACCTTTTAAAATTAAATTTTACAACTTTTTTGAATGTACTAAAAAAATTACTTAATATGTATTTGTAAAACAAAATTTAAAACATACCTCTAAGTCATAATATCGTATTCTCGAGTCCAATGACCCCGTGTAAACTGTGGTTCCGTATTTCTCTTTAACAATAGTGATGCAGGTTACCGCAAGGTTTGATCCTCTTAAGGTTGTTATAAGATTTCCATCATTATTGAAATAATAAACATTGCCATCGAGACAAGCCGCTAAGAAGTTTGTTTCAACACACTGAAAAATATTAAATATATAATTAATAACTATATTATGCTGGTAACATTGAATAAAGCCTAAAGGGCACCCTGCAATGATTTTATAAGCATGGTTTCAATTCTCAATGTGTCCTTGAATTTACCATTTAATCTAATTAATAACAATAAAATTTTAGGAAAATAATTATTAATATAGGAGAAAGATAACAATATTCATGTATTACTACACTTACTTCTAACGCAAGAACAGCATCAGCATTTCCTGAGACAACAATAGAATCCCGCCTGAGGTTTTCATCTGATGAGTAATCATACATTTTACATTCATCACCTTGACTCAAGCTTGGCTTGGCGTCCTCCATCGATGACTGACTATTATCTAATATGATTTCTTCACTTATTGGCACTGTTATATTTACAACCGCCTCTTTGTCCTCACAGTTATCTCCTACCACAATATCTTCTGACACATCCAACATATCAATCTGTATATCATTGATGTTCTGCTCGATGTGTATAGTGGGTGCTGTTACAATCTTTTGTGGGGAATCTAAATCAACATTTTGTACTGTTTCCTCATAATCATAATCTTGTATAAGGTTTTGTTGATCTAGATACTGACTGAAGTCTTCTCTTATTAGAAGAACAGAACACTCCTTGATTTCTATATTGTTCATATCAACTTTTTTACTTTTGATAGCTCTCTTTTTCCCCATATTCTTGCCTTTCTTTAATCTTTTTTTACTTTGTGGTGTCACTTCTAAATCGTCTAAGGATATTATGTCCTCAAGTGGTCTGTCATCCGTGATAATTTGTTCGAGCAAAGATATATTTGGGGATTTTCCTCTTTTTCTTCTTGTGTTAATCGTCGTAGAACTTTCTGACGATGCACTCTGATAAGAAACTTTACGGCGTCGTATTCTTTTATCAACTTTCGGCGTTTCTGCCTCTTCAATAGCAACTGTTTCGAATGCTATTTGATCCAACTCCTCTGAGGGTATATTAGCAAAGTTATCCACGATAACATCTTCAGTCAGTAAGATATGTTCTGACGTTCCATTTTCGTCATCTCCATCAAATGGCGCAACATTCAAAACTGTCATACCCAATGTTTGCATTGAGTTGTGACTTGAATCTTTAGATTCCATTGAGTTGTACAGCTTAAACTTTTCTTGTAATAACACCTGTATTTCCAAATCTATTTCCTTCATTCTTTCAAACGGCTCAGTTGATCTTGTAACTAATGCCTCAGAAACAACGTCATCAGTTTGTGTTTCCTTTACGACGTATTTTTTCTTTATTGTTTGGGAGCACCTTGAATTATATTTCTTTATAACTGTCTGTGTTTCTTTTGATGGTAACTTCCTGTGAACTTGTATTGCAACATGTTTTCTCATTAATTGCCTGCAAAAACTGTCTTTAGGTTTAATTATGGTGTCAACAGAAATTTTGTGGCTGGGAACTGAACTAACAGCTGTGTTCCTATGTGCTTGATGTATAGTTACTTTACGAGGTTGTTCAGTGAACATATCTATCGTTTTTAAAGAATTTTTAGCATCTGTTTTGGAACTAATTTGACAACTTGAACTGCTCTCTTGTGGGCTGGTAGCTTGATTTGATGAGGTTGAATCTTTTAATTTAGTTTTATTGTCCTTAACCGGAGTTTTCTTTGGCGTATCCTTCTTTTTAGGATGTTTGTCCGAAGTGCTTTTATCATTTAATGATTCATTATTATCTGTACAATCTTTGTCCTTGCTGTCATCCTTAGGGAGGACAGATTTTATCGTTTCACATTTATCAGACATGTTTAATGGATCATTGACTATTCCATCGTCTTTATTACAATGATTGGCTGATTCAGAACATGATTCTTTTCTTCTTTTTTCTTTACGATGTGATGGTCGTTGGTCTATAGACCTTTTCCGTGAATTTGATGGTGTAGATATTTTCACCGAATTCTCAAAATCAATTTTTTCATTTAACTCTTTGGTTTTGTCTATTTTACTACTGTTATCGATGTCTGACGCATTTACGTCATTGTCTTGTGCGAGTTTCTCCTCTAGATTGTATAAATCAGTTTCGGTCAACGTCGGTAGTTCTGAGAGCGCAGGAAGATCCTTCTCTGGTGTAGCAAGTTCTACTTTAAGCTCTTTCTGTATATTTAAAAAGTTTGATTCATCACTGTCCTGTGATGGTTTTGGAATTGTAATATTGTCATCTTCAATAAAATCATGATCAACGGCAACATGATACTGATTGTCTAATTCAGCAAAAGGATCTTCTTCCTCTACACCCTGTTGAGGATAACAGTCAAATAACTTTTGTGGTTCTTCTACTTTTACTTCTTTATGTTCTTTGACAGGGGATTTTCCAAAGAGAGCATTATTTTTTGATACATCACTATCTTGGTAAAAACTGTAACTTTTCCTTCTTGATCTTCTTTCAAATAGAGGCTTAGAGTCCTCATAATCCAATTGGTCATTTGTAAATCTATCATAATTGTTGGTGTTCGGCTCCACACTCTTTGATCTTGTGAAATCTGCTTGTGCGACATTCTTTGGTTGGTCGTAATATGTTGAATGAAAATTCTCATTTGGCCATGCATTAGAGTCAGTGATAATATTATTATAAATCTGTTGATCATCTGACATCTCATTTAAATTCTCATCTCCACCCATTTGCATTTGTTCAAGTTCATCGAGCTGCAATACTTTACTTAATTCTGCCATAACAATGGGCTTAATATCTTCAAGAAAAACTGTGTCCTGTGGATCTAGAATACATTGCATTTGTTTCATAAAGGTGTCTTCATATATGGTATTATTGTCATTCTGCATAAACTCTGTACTGGTACTGGAGAGAGATTTTTCAGCGACCGATCTCATGTGTCTATTAAAACTATTCTGAGACTCTGTTATAAGACTGCTTATAGCAAATTCAAATTTATTTGATGAGTTTGGATTATCCATTAATTTATGAATTTTTTCTTTATCCATTTTAAATAATTGGTGAACAATTTTATTCTTTATTTTGGCACAATTTTTATTTGCATTTATAATTCTTTGTCTGTTAAACCTTTTTTTCGCAGGCGGTTCATGTTGACTGCTTTCATATTTTTCTGATATTTTAAGGGATTCATTTTGGATGGCAGAATTGTTTTGATTTGTATTATTATTTTCTGAATTATGCTGCGGCTCATTGCGATTGAGAATTTTTTTCCTTACAATATCTACAGTGTCATCTACAGATCTACTGAATGAATTGGAGTTGTCAATGGCTGAAGCCGATAATGTAGGATTACATCCATAGTGGTCGGAAGCTGGTGGCCTGTGTCCAGTATAATCTGAATATTTATTAGTTTCACTATATTCTGATCTTTGTGATTTATTAAAAATATTTTCACTTTGTGAAAAATCATTTTCAGCAGCCCAAGGGCTAATTAGAGGTTGTCTAAAATTATGCATTTGTGGCAATTGACGGTGATCAACGTCTCCCATACTGTTCACATGAAAATGGTTTCCATGTACATCTTTATAGAAATTAGAAGGTTCTTTGAACATACTTCTATGTTGTTCTTCTTGTCTTTGATGTACTAATGGTAATATTTGCCTCCCACTATGGTGAGGTTGTCTCAGGTAGTTATGATGATTGTTCCTGTATCTGTATCGATCACCATGATCCTGTGATTGATCTTGATTATCAACTCGCGAGTTATAAGGTTGTGGTCGTCGAGACCTTGAACTCGGTGGCGGGAATCTGTAATTTATATATTTCTTATAATTAAACACCGTGAATTGTATATTGTAAGTAAATATACTAATGATGGTGTAGTAAAAAACGATTACTTTTTCTTTTATGATGTTTAGCAATACGCGGGTGTATTGTAAATATGATGTTTGACAGGTCAGAACAAAATAAATAATAGTAAGTCACTTATCATTTTAATGTTTTATATTTACCTCGGTGCATCCGGTATATCATAGTTTCTGGACGATCTGAAATGTGAATTGCCGCCGTTTCTTGAGCTAAATTGTCTCGAGTTTTCATTACGCCATCCACCAATTCTCGTTTGACCTCGTCGCATATTGATAGTTTTAGAACATATTATTTTAATAAAATTAATATATATATAATTCTTTTTTGGAGTTTTTACATAAAATTGGTCAGAATCTTATGTTTTTAGCACATAAGCTATAACAAAACAAACAAGTTAGATCAATTCAGTTTGTACTCTATTTGACGTTTCGGGACAGATTATGCATAATTTTTCTACAGTTTTATGTAATGTCAAAATCCGTAGTATTTATTTTGTTGTAATTTGTATTCACAAAAGTAGTCATATGTATTATATGAAAATTTAATTTAAAACAATAATAATTGTTTTTAAAACTCTACTTTCTAATAAATAATAATGAGATACATGGCCTTTATTAGCTTTTTAAACATTTATATCGTTTATTTTGGTAAAATAAGAGTATTTAATTTAATTTTTTATTTTAAAGCTATGGCTTCATTCGTACTAGAATCGTGACATATTTTGCCCAGGTCAATGTTTATTTGTTAATTAAGTAGGGTGGCAACCAGAGGTTCCACGAAAACTACGAAACTTTCTTATATGTATATTATAATAAGAATTACATATTAAAACTTATAACCTATACCTAAAACTACATGATTGCCTCAATGTTAGGATAGCAATCCCATTCCATTTCTTGTTTAGTATCAGGAAACTTTTGGTTCAGACAGCTTAGTGTTCGTTCCGCGCAGTTAGCAGCGTCACTTGTTAAATGGTATTTAATATATACAACAATGTTGCCCCGGCGTTGTTCATATATTTTTTAATATTTAGCGTGTACGTAACATGTTAGACGAATTATAATATTGAGTACCTACTGTGTTTAAAAAACACAGAGAACTTTGTCGAAAGGAATAAAGACGTTTATTTAAGTATTATTATTTTTAAAAGAACACTAGTTGCATTTTTACCAGCATCTATAGTTCGTTAGACTTAGTATGAAATTATATGAATGTCTTGATAACATAAATGATATATGAGTATATTAACTGAGACACTAAAATTCACTTATGATAGATTAGTGTAGTGTGTATTGGGGAGGGAAAGGTGAATGCAATGTTATAAATTTTGCCTCCAGCTTTGATGGGATATCTTCTAAATATTTGTTTTATAGTAAGTAGATTGTTCAGCTGGTGGAAAATTGTTAAAATCTATATAATATCTAGCTATGTCTGTATTTTTATAGAGGAAGTAACTTCTTAGTAAGCCTATTGTAACCAGACTTCGCAGTAAATGATAAGGTCAAGCGAGCTTAAATATGATCTGAGCTAAAATAATAATCTTAGTAAAATATTAAGAGACAGTTTTTACATTCCGTGTTGGTGTATGAAAGTAATCATGTTTAACAAGAATTAAAATATGTACAGTTAATCTGGTTTTTCAACTGTTGATCGAAGGATCATTTTTAAAGGCCAATCGGTTAAATAATATATTGAAAGGCTTTTGAATGAGCCGCCAAGGTCCATGTCTAATATAGGTGCGAAAATATTTAGCTTGAACTGATGGTGAAGCATGAATATTCAGAAAAATATCTCTCTTGTTTTATAAAAGCTGTTTGTGTTCGATAGTGAGAACAATAAATATTGTTCTTAGTTTAAACACGGGTCTACCATCTCCTCGAGAGTATTTATTACCTATTTTGTTTTTACAATTTTGGTCTGCCTGTCCATTTCGGTTAATATCTAGAATGGCTGGAGTTATTTTGACCGATTTTTATATTGGCAAGCAGTGGATGTAATAAGGAATAATTTAGGCTACTTTCTATCCCGATCTTAAAATTAAGCGTCATTAGGTACGTGGGTGTGGGAGGCAAGTCGCATGCAGAGCTCAAAAGCTTTTTACACAATCCAATTAGTGGGTAATAGCAAAATTTTACTAATAGATCTTAATTAATTTATTTCGCTAACTGACTTCTTTAAACTGTGCCATTTTCTTTTCTTATCTGTTTTTTTAGGAAGGATCTGGGAAGGAACTCCGGTTTCGAATTTCGTCTTATCATATTTTGTATATATCTGTAGTCAGTGGTGGCCTAGTGGTTAAAGGGCCCGCCTCTCGTTGCCGAGGGCGCGGGTTCGATCCTGGCCCGGGCAAGTACCAATGTGATTTTTCCGAGTCATATGTACCTATTTTCTAAGAGTATTTAGACATCACTGATTAATGCTGATTCCCAAAAGAGGGTTGATGTCAGGCAGGCGGCCGGTCGTAAAAACAATTGGGCAAAACTATTCACATGTAAGGCAGATCCTAGCTATAGCTGGGAAATTGCCAGGTAGAAGAAGATATTTTGTATGTCTGTCTTTTCAGAAAGTATTCGTCACTATATCTATTGCAATTTTTGTATCATGTAAATTTACATGTTGTTTTATTTTTTTATTAAGTACTTCTGTAATTGTTGTTGAGGATTATTCATTTTTTATTGAATGTGACCTGTTCCCCATCTCCTCATCAGCTGTCCTAAACTCCTTCATCCCCTATATGATGTTCTCCCTGATAACACTCCCCGTTGGTGTTTGGTTTATTTAGTAAATTTATATGTTTATTAAAATCAATAAACCATTTAGGTCTTCTAACAAAGTTCCTAGTTGTGACTTCAGTCGAGGCCGTTAAATTTTATTTCATTTAAAAACTAATACCGTATTGTATATCTTTCATTCTACACGACATTGACAGAATATACTGTGTACGTCTTTGCAAGGATATAGGCCATATACCAACCAACCATTCTTTTTCTGTTCTTAAGTGCCTTTATTTACTTCTTTTCTTTCCATTCCTTTTCCGTATAAGTATAGTTTTTATATTTTTTAAATTTATGCTCAAAAATAATGTACATGAAGTGAAGTCATGTGCACGACAGTCTTTGGGTTTCAGGGGTAATTTTCCTCGTGATATCATAAATAAGTCTTTAACGCCCAAGCTATTCTTTTTATTAAAATACAGTGTTTTGCAAGTCCTTTCAATTTATAGTAACGAATTTTTCTATATATGTAAACAATGAGAACATAGTAAACATTTTTTTTCACTGATGGTTACGTTTTCTTTTTATTTTATTTGCATAATGAAATACTTCTTCGCTACTATAGCATCATGTGATGTAATAAATGTAACAAAAGTAAATGCACCATAATATGATGGTTAATATAATTTAGAAATGGATTTCAGGAATGTATAACTATAACCTATGAATAAAAGAAAGCATATTACAAAGAAATACATATACTGCATTTGTAGTATGGTAAACCGCTCGAAATGACAAAAGATGTTACATCATTCATTCCAAAAAAGGCGTTTTAGCTCCCAATGTTCATGTATTGCTTATTTTACATTCACAGTCCAGTAAAACATTGATGTTATAGGGATCAAATAAGTATCTACAATGTCAAGAAGTTTGAGGCAAGACGTAAAAACAAATTATTAAAAAAATATATATTGTAACGACAGCGTATAAATTACAAAATACATGTGTTTTAGTTTGATCAAACATGACAAAATATAAAAGATGCATTACGCATACTTACAACCAACTTTTAAAAGCTCACAGTTTTATTTACAAGTATTTTAAAGTCCGTGATAATGTAATGTTTTTAAAAAATATATAAATAATATGAGCACACATTGGTTTTATATTCCAGCTAGAATGGATGTAGGATCTTCAACACCTGATTTTACTTTACGTAAGAACATGACTGCCTCGCGTCCATCTATAAGTCTGTGGTCGTAGGACAGAGCCAAGTACATCATGGGTCTAATTTCGATCTAAAACAAAGTTATTTCCTAATAAAATATCTTTATATATAAAAGAGAGTCGTGTTAGTTACACTTTTTATAACTCAAAAACGGCTTTGGCTGAAAATTGGTGCAGAGATATCTTAGAATAAGGGAAAGGGCATAAAATACTATTCATCTAATTGAAAAAGAAAAAAAAAAGTTGATCAAATTCAAAATATTCTTATCTACGGTCTTAAAGGAGGCGTAGAGTTTGACTGGTCCGCTATACATTTCTAATTATGAAACTGACGCAGTAAAAATCGCGGGCAAAAACTAATTTATACTAAATAATCTAAACCCAGTTAGTATTTGATCTCACCTTTCCCTGTATTGCGACTGGTCTTTGAAAGATAGCGTGCATTCCAAGGATGGCGCTCTGTGGCATGTTGATGATAGGCATAGACAACAGCGAGCCGAACACGCCGCCGTTACTGATAGTGAACGTACCTCCTTGCATATCAGCTGGCGTCAATTTACCTAAGAAAAATCAAAGATAATTAGATTTTAGGCATATTCTTCTTTACTTTATGACAAAATGAAAAACGAGTCATAGAAGGTGGCTAAAAGAATGGTATGTGCTAAGGTTAAAGAAAATTTCTATTTTACTCCAACATAAGTTTGGTTGTGACGAGAAACTTTCTTACCCTTAGTGCGGGGTGAAATCTGTTTACAGCAAAACCAAAAAATTCCTCTACATATACATAATAAATTTTAATAGACTGAATTATTACTACTCTATTATACATATATGATTTGTGTACAAATACAATCTAGTAGTTGTAGTTTGATATCGAAAATAATATAAGATACATTCTTAAGATGGCCGACGGTCGTATTAGTTACTCATATCAAGCTACTCAGCTTAAAACTTTATAAAACCAAAATAGTTTTTCCATTATAACAGCTAATATTTCTTAGCACCAGAGCTAGTAGGAAATAAAATTTCGTTCGCTATAAAAAATATACAATATGACATTCTCAAATCTCATGACTTTTTACCATGATTTGATTTCAAATAGTTGTGCCCCATTAAGAATTGGTATTTGTAGTCATTAAATATAAAAATATCTTTGATTAAAAACACATGAATTTGTATAAAATTTGTATGAAAATAAACCTTTTCTAGCTTTATCGGCGAGAGCATTGATTGCTAGTTCTATACGGGGAAAATCCATGGAATCCACATTCCTCACTACCGGCGTTACGAGACCCTTCGGTGTCGCGACCGCTACTGATATATCGACGTAGTCTCTGAGAGAATGTAAAATAGCGTTGTAAATTAATTCAACTCTAGATTGAAATACCTTTTGAAACTATCGTGGGACATATGTATATTATGTATATTAAATCTATTATAGCATTTTTAAAAATGTTATTTATCATTTCATAAATAGAATTATCAAAAAAATAGTACCATCAATAAGAGTTAAGTCAAAACTATAGTTTATGTAATGTAATTTTCATAAGATTTAAATGATTTTCTGATATGATAGACAATGAAACTGAAGTTAGTGGGATGGGGAGATCTCCCATATTAATCGGGAGACGGTTTAACATCGCTGTCCAACTTCGTAGAAGTAATAACATTACATGGCCATTACCTGTAAACAATGTTATCGCCCTGTATAACGCCATTGATGACGGGCTGATCGATCAGTGCATTGGCCGACGCTTTTAAAAATGGTGACATGAAAGACAGCTTCACGCCATACTTTTTTGTGAACGTCTCCAAATTGGCCTTTCTAAACGCCATCAGTTTGCTGAAAACAATTTCATTTATTACCATTTACGATCTACAAGATTCTTTGACATAAAACCTTTGTTAAAAAATTTTGTGTATAAATACATATTTTGGCATGTTGGCTATAATTATTTGGGAGTATTAACTGTCAGTATGCCAATACATTTTACAATTTAATATTAATGTCTAAAACATTTTATTGATGGCATCTGTTTGTTTCAGCCAGGCTAAGTTCCGAACCTTAGAATGTTTTATAGAACCAAATAAGCAGATTTAGACTTGATCTACATTTTGGAATGTAATTCAGCTAACTTTGATTTCACTTTAAGGTATACTATCACGTATTTGTTGATAATAGGTGTATAGGTGGTGGAGAGCTTGAAATATTTTAATGTCTTTGTATGGATGGTTTGTTAATATAAATTAATATTATACAAATATGGCTTTGAAAATAAGTTTAGGATTAATTTTATAATACTGAATAAGCAAACGTGAGTATGAACAGCAAAATTTTTTTCTAGTTATTTTGTAATTTAAATCTCATTTTATACCTAAAGTTCATTATTTGACTGCGTTCACCCTGTCAAATAAAAAATAATAATATTGACAGTAATCAGGATCAGCAATTTCTGTACTAAATTACCATTTTTAATTTTTAGGTCATGGTTTGAAAAATTCTAAATACTTGTTTACAAATACAAAAAATATATATATTGAAATCTATCACGCCGTTTTTACATATATGTATTCTATATTATATAACTGAAAGCTAGTATTATTATAATATTTTTTTATAATCAACTTTGAGTGGAATCCTCTCAACTTGTGGAGTTCATGTGCTCCATGCAGCATGATTATCCCTAGTAATTAGCAGATACTTATTGATTTTCAGAGTATACATTAATTTGTTATAAAGAATATGTATGCCGTTAAAAATGGTTAAGTCCTAACTCTTACAAAACTTCCCAATGTCAATCTTTTCACATATTTTTGTTTTCATGCAAATAAGGACTCTATAATTCTCCAAATGGCCACTAACATTCATGGTAACTTTTCAGAGTAAGCTTAAAAGTATTTACACATATTGCTTAATATACCTTGGTCAATTTCGTTTTAAGAAAGTTAATGACAAAAATCGGTAAATAAGATACTTCATGTGGCCATAAACATTGGTAAAAAAAAAAGAAAAAATATTACTATTTAATCTACTACATCTCATTTTTATACGTTTATTGTGTTTTCTTATTTTTGAACCACTATATGTTTTTTACAATAGGTACATTCTGTCATAGTCATATTAAAAACAGTGGAGAGATAAAACAACCGAACATTTGTGACTGCATTACATGAAACAAGTGTGGCCCCTAATATAATTTTCAAAATCTGACATACTCTTGGTGTTAGAAATATATTTATGTACCACTGTTTGTATTTATGATGACAGCTCCTAAGAAGCTTTCCAAAAGTCAACATAGTACAACATGGGCATTACATTTCAGCGGTGGTGGGTTCTTAGATATTTAGGATTAACTGAGCTATATTTTTGTGGAAAATGTATTATGAAAGCTTCATACGTTAAGCTTACATCGCTATTGCCCAAGAACAGTCCGTTCGGCAGGGATCATAAAGTTAAATTTCCCAAATCTTGACTAGATACTAGCGTTTAGGACTTCGTCAGAGTTGAACACTGGTCGTAACTTGTCCTCATTTAATATGGAGATGATTTAAGATCAGTTTTAGGCAGCAAGCTCTATACGGCATTATAATTTCGAGTATTTTAACCATTTAATACTAAAGAATATTCCGAAAGAAAGAGTCTATGCTTGTACTGTTGGTCTGTTGATAACTGATCTCAATGTTTAAAGGACTGTAACGCAGCCATTGGAGATCACTTCATATAAGATTCATATATTTTTAATCCTTTTATATTAATTTATACAAATAACACAGTATAATACTTATTAATGTAAAATATAAAAAATCGTCGTTACAATATTTATTTATGGCCAGACTAAATGTAAGCGAAACAAACAGGGATATAGGAATTAGACAAATTAGAAATGGCATGAAATGCTTTAATAACATATTTTCTAAAAAAAAGCAACAAAGCTACCAGAACTTACTATGTTATTTGGTAGAAAAGGGCGAAACCTAAAAGTACATAGGAGATTAAATTGTTATAACGCTTTTGTTGAGAAGAAAGATTACCTTCTTTTTATGTTCCTTTGTGTATCTCGCAACTTATTAGTCAGCAAAGTTGATAAAAAAAATTATAGTTATTTTCATCATTTAACACTTAAACTAATGGGGCCATATTGTTTAAGATTTAAAATAGAGAACACTATTAGTTTAAAATCTATAGGTACCAGTATCTATAATTTACAAAAAAATAATAAAAATAAGAAGAATAATAAAAATAAAAATAAGCCTCAAATATAATGTGAAAATCTTTTTTAAAATTTAAAGAATAGCCACGACAGATGAATTACGTGTTTGATAAATAAAACCTATAACAAACTAATACGCTTAAAAAATAATTACAAAATAGATATATTTCATTGATTAGATCGATATTAGTATAAATCTTATTATTTTCTCCCTTCATTTTGTCATTTTACACAATTTAGAACTCTTATTGAGCAGTGGAATATCTAAATAGCCGTGTATTTAAAAGATGTTTTAATTTTACCTCATATCACACTCGTTGAACGTCGTTAACATGGCCGTTGTATTTTGGGCTTCTTTGAGTCTCTCAGAGATTCGTTTGCGCATTCTATTCATGGGCACCGGTAGTTCAGTTCTTGTACCCGATATAGTTTTAGTTGGATCTCCAATTTTAAGTGCCGCAGGCTGGGAATGTCGTTATGAATTGAATCATTGTTTTAGGGATAAACGGATAAATATATGTCGGCGCAGTTACCATTTTAATAATCAATAATTGAGGGTAGATAAATTATCAGGTGTCGTTCGCGTAACAACCTGTCCGAGTGAAGTCATAACAATGGCTGTTAGTCATTATAAATAGAGGCGAGATTACTGATTACAGATAGTCGTGCTGGAGCCGTCGCGGGGATCGAACCTCTTGGAAGTGAAACACCGTCCCACCGGCTGTGAGGGCTGTGAGGTTACCTTTGATAGCCTCAAGGGCTGACGACATTCGAGAACAAACCGCGCTGGTGACGTCAGTTATGCTGACGTCACTCATTTTAAAAACCGCGTTTCGGCACCTTCTCCGACATATACGTAAAATGAATAATGCGAATAAATAAAGTATTATTCTCAAATATATCAAAGCATTCAAAACAACCATTTTTTTTCTACGTCTATTAGACTTTCGTTCGCTCGTAAATAGTTTTAAATATGTTATCAAAATTTCCTTAAATGCATCAGAAATTAAGATAAAATTAGGAGCATTACTCACTGTTGGTCCAGCCGGAGCACCTTTCTTTACTACGGTGGTTTGAGTAGCAGTGGCTGTAGCAGCAGCTGGTGCGGCAGCCGGTGCCGCAACAGGTGCTGGTGCAGCAGCCGGGGCTGGTGCTGGTGCTGCTTTTGGTGCTGCTGGAGCTGCCTTGGCTGGTGCGACTCCAGTGACGTCCACCTTAATGAATTTTAAGCATTAAAATATCAATTTAAGCGTTTAATTCGTCGTAATTCATTATATTTCAGCCATCATTGCTACTTGTACTTTTTAAATACAGGATTGAGTATACTTAGCAATGTTAGGAATGCCTTATAAGATGCCCTGGGATGACTATTAAACTATTGGAGTGAAATGGAATAGTACCTAGTCATGATGTTATGAAATGATAAGAAAGGAAATGGGCGTTATATGACACAAATCAATATTAATATTAAATAAAATATCTTCGGGCAAAAGATAGAGAAAAGAGGACACTGCTATTGTGGAATGGAAATTCTTCTTCTTCTTCTTTAGTTAGTCGCGTTTCTTTATAGATTTCGCCAATGTCGTGTGAATGGAAATGCATAGCCGTTGTCAAAATTAGTTGTCAAATAAAATAAACAATTGACAATCTATACAAGCGACATCTAACAGTCAAGACATACATATTTAAAAAAAAACTCTTGTATTTGCCAAATTATATACGTTATTCAACAATTGGCGACCTTGTAAGAATAGACAACTGGAACTCAAGAAGAAAAAATATACCCAACTTTCTAGTCACAACGATATAAATACCATTCCTTCATTACTTTTATATAGTAATTTCTCCTTTCTTTATATTTATTCATGGTAAGTCCAATTTGTGAAATAAAAATATTGGATTAAACAGCTCCAAAGATTTCCAATCATCATGAACACGCATTGCAGATTTATCGTAGAGACTGATTCTCGTATTTTGACAAAGTCACACAGTATGTTTGTAACCACAAAATGACAGCAGTTATTTTGACAAACTAACAGACAACAATTTAAAAAAATATAGTGAATGGAGTACCTCCGCGCGGAATAAGTAGAATTACACAATTGTAAACAATTCATTTCCAATAAATTTGAAAATAAAATACTGCCATATTGAATTATATGTGTATCATATCAATTTAAAAAATAATGAATATTATAAATATTTCTTTATATTTTTTTATTAAATTTAATAAAAAACAACGAGAACGCAATTCAGCGGATTTCACGACGCTCACACTATTTACTTATCTGCATAGTAAGAATACCATGCGCATATGCTTGGAATCTACCGGCACACTAGATCTCTCTCCAACTTTCAATATTTGTGTATCTTTCTTTCTCTGTCCCTCAGCGTAAAACGTTTAACGCAACCTTGTTGGAAGTTGCATAAGAAGTTACACGACAATAAGACCGAACAAATCCTTCACAATTTTTGATCCACCTGTACACAGACATACATTTATTACTTCGATAGAGGTACATGCGTAAACTGTTCAATTGATGTAAATTTACAATACTACAGAAGTACGTATTCAATTCTCCTTAGAAAAGCATTTGTTCAATTATGTGATTCAATTCATTGTTAATACTAAAAGACATATTATAAAACTTTATTAACTGAGTATACCAACACAGTCATAACAAAAAACAACAGAAAGCGGAACAGAAAAGTTAACAGTCTCTAAAAATAAATAATTACATCTAAAATAGAAGGAGAAAATATCGTAGTTTAGATCTTGAAAATATTTAAGTAATGTCATGAATGTGTCGCTTCATAAAATTATTCTCACTATAGAAATAAATTTTGTTTGTTGATTTCATACGTATGTCAATGTACTACGCAATATCTCTACACAAGATTGTATATAGGTACCCAACAACTAAGAAAGTTCCAGAAAGGAATAGATCTGATTTGATTCTAAAGATCAATAGAAATACTCATTTGACAGTTGCAATATCTTTTTATCTCCAAAATAAATATCAATAATAGATGCAATGTTTTTACCGAATGACATTACTAATGGATTTTTTATATTCTATGAAATACGACAGTCGTATATAAAAGGTTCCTGTCACCTGAAACAAAGGCTGCTGTGACTTGACAGACTGTCCTTCTTTCACCAGCATCTTCAAAATCTTTCCGTTCCCCGGTGACATAACTGGTAGTGCTGTTTTGTCTGTTTCTATTTCCATCACAACTTCGTCCATAGCTACCGAATCTCCTTCCTTCTTAATCAGTCTTGAGAATTCACAGATGGTTAGATTAATTAAATTATAAAACAGAACATTGTCTAAATGACACTTATATTTTCGAATAACTATGTACGCGTATTTTATTATTTTTTAAAACTACATACTCCTGATTGAATCATTCATATCTCGTCTGCCAGTGACCACGGTTGCTGGAAAGTAACCGAAACGTAGGTAGTATGTAGTTTTTTAATTAATTAAATACGCGAATTAACCGAAAAATATTAGTTTCGTTTAAATGAATACTCGCATAATCTCATTACAGAAAAATGTCTAGTTGGAAAAGTAAGTGATTGTTGTTTGTCTTTTAAAAGGTTTATAAATAAAAAAGTTATAACAATTTACTAAATCATTCGAGTTATTAGTACTTATAAAAATTAATATTTTGGTGACAGTAGTGTTATAAAATTGCTAAGATTATTTAATAAATTATATTGATTAATTATAATTACTTAACATCTCCAGATGAGACAGAGTCAGGGAAAGTAGGTGCCTTTACTTCTTCGACTCCGAGGAGAATTGAATTTGTATGGATCCTTTCTTTTAATATGTCAGGAAGTGAATTTTCTTGAGCTGGTCTGAAAATATTTGTTACAAGATTATTTTATTCCTTAACGTAGAATATAAAAGTAAAGTATTTTGATTATTACCTGGTATTTACGTTCCAAACGTTTGTCGAATACTTTCTTGCGAGTACCATCCTTTTGCTTTGCGACAGAGTTCTTAAAAAGCGTCCTCCAAAAAGCTGTGAACGCGGTAAAATAATGGCTGGATCATATTATGATATTGCATACAATCTGTCATTTTTAGTCTACGAAAACTATACTCAAGCAAATGGTAAAGTCAACTCTCTTTTCTTTCTTTAAAGGTCTACAAAATTAAAAGAAATATCGAAGTCTATTTACTTAGATGTGATATTAACTTACAATTTGAATAATTTCACGTTTAATCATATTAATATATAAAAAGAACGCTACATATGACACCTGATCTAGTTAAAATATTGACAAAAGTAAAAATCATACTGATTAAATGCTTTAAGTTGACAGTCTTTGATAGAAGATTATTTTTTTTATTAATTTAAGCTGAAAAGAGGATGGACGGTTTTTAAAAGGAACAATTCTTATTTTTATTTCTTGAGGGCTATTCACTAACAGAGGGCAGAGTTTTAGTTTCATAATACGGAGAATGGATGGCGTTAACAATATTAGTTTATGCTATTCTCCGCTAGATGCTGACACAAAAACGTATCATAAATACTCCATAAAATATTTATATTCTGCCGATAACAAATAAAAAAGATGTAAAATGTGTTTTGGAACGAAATTGTATCAGACGATTTTTTTGGTAAGTTTCATAAGATTAATTTTATTTTCGTAAAAATGCTGAAATTTAAAAAATCTAAAGAAAATCATTCTCTTATTGTTTACACTTAAATTTATATAACTTGACATCTAGAATTTTAAATAATTAATAAAAGTCTTTTACAAAGTTATAATTTCTGGTAAATAAAAAAAATCTAATTCATTTAAACCAGAGTTAAAACTGACATAAAATATGAGAAAATATCTACTCTATTTTTTTTCATTTACAACAATTGCGAATATAAGAAGATTTTTTTTATAATGTAATATTATGTGCATTATTTTTATCAATTATATCAAGATGTATATTTTGTTATCTTTAATTACAATTGCTACTTTTAATTACTATTATCTGTTCTTTAATTGTAAAGTCAATAATAATAATTTAAGACATAATTACTATATAATATTCTACCAAATATTGGTTCAAAGCTTTAAGATACTATATTACACACGTGTACCTTTAAATGTATTGAGATTGTTGAATTAATTAGTTTTGACAGTTTACAATAGATGTCTTTGAGCGGCAAGTTAGTGGTCACTACTCAAGACCATTTGATATGGACTTACTCTTATGTGTTAGGGTTGGCGATATGGAAATTCAATAAAAAGATTTACATTTAACTGTTACTTATAAATATAAATGGTTAAGAAAAGAAAATAATTAAATAAGCTTCGATTACAAGTTAATTTATTAATAGTTATTATTGTGAATATGAATAATTATTTCCTGTTTAACAACCCTAAGACGAGGGTCTCTCCCCTAATAATTTGCTAAGATTCGGGAGCCCGCATCTTTGATTAGGAATCTCCGACGGTAGACGGACCCATTGCGCTTTTATCTATTTCAGTAAATTGCAATATAATCATTATTCAATATTTGATGTATGTGTCTACTCCTTATATGAGCCCGGTGAAAGGGTTTTTGAGTCTGATTTTGGATTACAGAGTAGGATATAACAGAGCCTTTTATAATTATGAAGAAGATTTTTTTATAACCAAAAAAAACTCTCTAATCATTTAATCAAAATTATCTGTTTATTGCTCTGTAAATGTTTGAATGTTTAAATCGCTTGTATTTTAGTTTAATCTTAATTCTAAACTATTTATTTTATGAGTAAAAGATTTATTGTTTAAAATATCTTAGTTTTTTAAGTATGCCTATTCATACATAGTATCTTTACTTCTCCGTTCTCCGTTAGATAGTGACAAATAATACAGAAAATATCAAATTAATTGATGAAATTGTTTGCTATGTAACATATTATTGACCAGGTTCACTTGAATATTGCTCAAATCTTAGTTAATTATTGTCTACTAATAGTTTTTGATTTTTCTCTTAAACACTATATTTTTATCCAATGTTATGTTGCTCCATGTTCCGAAATTGTAAAAGAAAGATTCAATTTACCGAAAAGAAAGTAGTTAGTAACTAATAGTTAAATCATATTTTTTTTCAATATAGAGTATAAAGAGGTTTGTATATTTTTTGGGGAGATTATTATAGGTAATCAAATACTATTTTGATATTAAAAAACAAATGAATCTAACTTTATTTAAATATGTATATTAAAATCGTCATTAATAATTTAGTTATTCAATAAAACATAATAAAGAAAACAAATTAAGTACGTTATTATATACAAGAAATGCCATTTATTAAAATGCTATTGTGCCTAAAAAAAACATACAAATCACATTATTTATTAATTATAATTAATAAAAGCCATAAATATTTCAATATATATATATATATATATATATATATAGGTATGTCTGCTCTGTATCCTACAGGATATAAGAGCCGACAAGTTTAGTTGGCAGTCTTTAGTTATTAATACTTCGTCGTGCTCAAAACGCCCGGTAAGCTCAGCTGTTTCAAACGAATTATAACTTAGAAGGACTTTAAAATACTGATTTATTTTAAATATTTTTATGGTTTCGTCATTTGTATCCGCCATTTTGTTTTTATATAGACATGTGACTGACGACTGTCATTTTTGACAGCTAATAATTAATAATTATTTAATGTTATCGGTTGAAAGATGTTTATTAATAAGTATACAACACGTAACATAATTAACGCACACCCTGAAAGTAATTTGTTCAGAATCGGAATCTGAATCCATTTTGATAGTTTTTTATGTAGGTCATTTATTTTCTCAAATTTAGATAGAACTAAGTAAATTACAGTCATCCTACACACAATTATCTAAACACTTCATTGAAACGAAAATGGATCGTAAGTCAGAGTATTAAGGTTTTTAAAATGAAAAATTAAATAAGTAATCATCATTCAATTAAAAAAACTGATACTTGTTTGAAGGCAAAATAGTTTTTTACAAATACCTACGCACGCAACACCACAGTGACAGTCGGCACACATCAAATACCTACGCACGTGTCCATTGACCTCCTAGATCAGCTGATTTGACTCCACTCGACTTTATTTTGTGAGAGCGAATTAAATCGCTAGTTTATAACACAATAAGTGAGCTAGTTTATAACACAGACAATAAGTGCCGAGGAACTAAAAATAAGATAATAACCGCCTTTGTAAAAGTGAAAAGTGACACTGCAGTATTATCTAAAATAAAACCACAATTGCGAAAACGGTCATCAAAGTGCATTGAACAAGGCGGTGGACATTTTGAAAATGTTTTAAAACGACAACGCCGTGCGAGTGCAAATTAAACTGTAAGTTTGTTTATGATCTTTAAATTATTGTAAATATTTTGATACACACCATTTAAACAGGCCGACTGTGTTTAACTTTGTCGTAGGTATTGTGGTGTCTAATCAAATCACGCGTTATCAGCTGTTTAATAATTCATATTTACAAATTTAATTTAACAAATCAGTAATTATAAAATATTGGCTTCACATTAAAAAAAAATCAATGTTGACAATCTAAAGCCTGAAAAGTGTGATGGAAAGAAGAATCATAAATCATAATGTAGTTATTTCGTGTACTTATTATTACCTACTACTTATTATTGTCGGACGGCACTCGGAGAGAGGGGCGCGGGCGCGGCGAGTACATTGTGTCTGTCTGTGTGTGCGTGTGCAGCGGAGTGTTGGTGAATGGCTGATCATATTATTTGCACGAAATTGGGATAACTAATTTAACAAATAAACAATGCTAACGCACATATAAATAATATTTGGTGTATGCATTGCTTTTAGATTATTATATTTTAATTGGGGTGTTTGAGTGTGTGCGTTAACTATGTTACAAGTTGTATAAGGTTGTAAAGAAAATTAAAATGATTGTATTAATATTTTTATTATTATTGTTGTTTCCCAAAATTGTTCAGTCAAGTTTTGCAGTCTCAGGTACTAAGTAAGACACTGTTTCAGCTTAAATGCTTAAACTTAGACAACAACGCCTCTGTTACATCGTAGTGACGTGACCTGTAATGAAAATAAATTGGTATTAAATATATTAAGAGGTTGTAAACGTTTAATTTAAATTTTAAATTGCTTTTAAAAAGTTATAAGAGTTTAATAAAGTGATTATATAACTTTTTGTATTGAGAATCTAAATAATGACTATGTTAAAATTAATTCTCTGTTACACAGAAAAATATGACTAAATATATGTATCTATGTTAAATCTTGGTGGCGGCCTAGTGGTTAAAAGCCCGTCTATAGTGTATGAGGGCGGGGCCCTGGTTCGAGACCTGGCAAGTACCAATGTGATTTTTCCGAGTCATATGTACTTTCTAAGAGTATTTAGATACCACTGACAAACGGTGAAGGAAAACATCGTGAGGAAACCTGGACTTATAATTTCAAATAATAAGTTTGATATCACCAACATGTTTTCAGCAAGCGTGATGATTAATGCTCAAACCTTCTCCATGTGAGAAGATGCCTTTATGTTAAATATACTAAATTAAAATTTCTATATGATATATGAAATATAAAATTTTATTCTAAAATTCTTCTTCAAAGATTTTACTAACATTAAACTGTCGTATCTGAGTAGAATTAAATTAAATTAAAATCGAAATAACAAAATAACTTGACAATTTTTATCGACAATCGATACATTAATTAATCCAATCACTATGGTCAATAAGCGTTAGCTGAAGTTAAATACTTTCTTGGTACGTAAGTCCGGTCTTGGCAAGTTGGTAACTTGTCGATTTATTGGACAAATAGTTTGAACAATCTACAGAGATTTATAGTTTGTCTTGAATTGAAGGCAAACTATGATAGAATTGGTACTAAGTGGTGTTATCGATATTATGGCTGATACAATGTTCACAAACGATTCTATTTAAACGGAATTATCGATATGAAAAGGATTATATTACTAGTAATAAAAGAA